AAACAATAAAAAATAATTTAAACATTCTATAAATCTATAACACAACTGCATCATTTTAAAAAAATGAAGTTAAAGCAATATCAAACCATTTATGTGTGTGCCTTGGCTGAACTCATTAGGGTTCAAAGACCTTTAATAAAGAGGTTTTAACTTGGCACAAAAATGAAACCCATGTCAGCAGCAGTGGGACCTCCAAGGAGAGAGCTAACACCACTAGCATGTCACAACTGAGAAGCCCCTCTCCCATGTCCTTGTTTAGTCCATTTAATGCATTTCACCCACTTGAGAAGGAGCCCCCGGTGGCACAGTGGGTTAAACCCCTATGCCGGCAGGACTTAAGACAGACAGGTCACAGGTTCTAATCCAGGGAGAGCACGGATGAGCTTCCTCTATCAGCTCCAGCTCCTCGTGTGGGGACAAGAGAGATGCCTCCCACAAGGATGGTAACACATCAAAACATCCGGGCGTCCTCTGGCCAAAGTCCTTGCAGACGGCCAATTCTCTCACATCAGAAGCGACTTGCAGTTTTCTCAAGTTGCTCCTGACATGACAAAAAAACCCCACTTGAGAGACACAGAGCATAGCCCTCTTGCAACCATCAATCCTCTGAAAGGTATACTTGGGAAGAGGCGCTGCTTCAAGTACTGAAGTCTCAAACTATTCAGAGCATGAAGTATAATTCTCAATATGTTGAATTCAAACCAGAAATGTTTAGCAGCCAGTGTGACAGAATGGAATGTCCTTCAAAATATTTAGAGTGACTTGCAAAAAAATAAATAATGAAATGCGCTGTCAAGGATTTCAGCAAGCCCCCTTCGCAGAATATGCTATTCCATCTCTCATTCAACAGCTGGCAAACAACTCCATGCTTACTCAACTGGATGCTTTTCATTGTGGCATTTGTCTGGACAAGAATGCAGCGGGGGAGGGGGGGGGAAGGGGATCACATAGCCAATCAAATGTTGGATCACAACTTCTAGAACTCCTGTGCAGCATAGGAGAGGAATGCTTGAAGTTGCACTGTAACGATTCGCACAATTCTCACATGTGGTACATAGGACACGCAAACAACGATTAAGTTTTTATTTCAGGGTATTTCATACATGACTAACCTACACCCAATCTTGTTTCTTAAACCCTATTGGGCATGAGTTAAAGACCACACACCTCCCCACAACATTCATGCTTTCCTGGAGGGGGGGGCAGACCTCTTGTCAGAAACATAACCCCCCCCCCTTAATAGGAGCAAGTGGTTACAAATAAGATATGAATACTTTATGTTTCAAAAAAGATTTCACAAAGAGGTAGGATGGTGTACCTTATCCACATAACACAACTTGGCTTTGTCAAACAGATGTGGGTAATGTGGAAAAATGTGGAAGAGAGAAAGTTGCCAGTTGAGTGCAAGAACCTGGACAATATGAAGATGTGTGCACACATTTGGTTTTGGTTCACTCAAATTCAATTTATCAAACCCAGAGCTACTCCAGGGATCCTTCTCAATAATGTTTCTGATTTATTCCTTTTATTTATTTCCTTTGTCAGCATTTACATTTTACCAGGGGGAAAAATGGCTTTCTGTACTCTGTCTGACAGCCTCTGAATTTTAAATCCAAACTACCTGTCACATTTGGAAATATTTAATCTCCAGTTCAGAGTTGGGTCCTCCCTAGTGAGCACATATTATGGAAACTGAATTGACTGTATTTGTCACTGAGGCCAAGACGTAACATGGTTTCTGCCTTAAAGACCTTTTTGCTACCCCACAGAGAAAACATTCATTTGATTCCTTTGCCTAGAAACTTCAGATGTTTCAGGCGCAGCTTCTGAAAGATTCAGCAACTGCCATCCTTTTATGTTGACAATTATACCATTAGTATCTTTCCAATGCAGGATGGGATTCCAATTGAATATCAGCATTGCACACATCTGAGGCCTCCTAGCACTTATTACTCTGGCTATTATCAGTGGGTTTGTACTGCAAGCAGGACTCAAAAGAACTGCAAACTGTATAGATCTATTACCTTTAGTGTGCAATTAATCTCGTTGACATTACTTATATAACTGTGGATTAAAATGCCTGGAAAGCATACTGTTGAATTCTGTTGCTCATTAATATTGATCAAAAGTTGTTGTTCTCTTTGTGTTAAAAGCTACTTAAAGATTACCTGGAAAAGTATTACTACCCTATTGATTAAAAACAAAGAATCCCTGAAGCCTGCTGTGCTTTAAAGCTTCGCTGCAAAGATAAATGTTTACTGACTTTATCTAATTAAAAATATCAGTCACATGCAAAGTTGGGTGACATATCCTCTATATTATGACAAACATTTGATTTCTGTGCCACATTTTCTACTGAAGTTTCAATGAGGGGAAGGCTGTACCTGTCATGCAGATGTTGAAAACAATCCAAAGGATAGCAATTCATTCCCCATCCTCTGACATTTGATTAACATATATTTGTTTAACATACATTGAGGCATACATACATACTGTGTGTTTTCTTCATTTCTGAAGGATTTTCAATTGGGAAATGGAAAGAACAGTTTTAACAGTGTGCACCATTTTGAAAACTCTGTCAGGTTATGTTGGGCAAGGCAAGAAGGGTATGTGTTTTCCCTCCTCATTCTGGTGCCATTTCTTATCCTTTCATATATTTTTGATGTGGCAATTGCAAGAGCATGATGATTAATTTGATGGGGTGCTTGTGAGTGCTGGAAGAGTTGTTAGGAAGAGAATCAACTCTTTTGAGATATACTGGAGAATACTTCTGTAGATATTGTGGATTGTTTAAAAAATAAATAAATACACCATACCTAGGTCACATAATGAGAAAAGATGACTTGCATATGACCCCAGAGAAAATAGCAAAATTTAATAAAAATCTTAGCGACAAGTGCTGGAAGTGTGGAAAGTGCAGAGGGACCTTCATCCACATGTGGTGGAACTGTGAAACAGCCAAGGCATATTGGAAAGAAATTCATAACAGTTGCCAGAAAATATTGTAGAAGAAGATCCCTTTGAAACCTGACTACTTCCTTTTAGGATTCACAGATGCTCAATGGAATATAAATGAGGACAAACTGTTTGTATATATGACCACGGCGGCGAGACTGATTTATGCAAAATTATGGAAACTAAAAACAAGACCTAAAAAAGAGGATTGGATAAAGAAAATCTTCGATATAATGAATATGGACAAACTAACGTACTTTCTGTCAAAAATACAAAATAAACCAATGAAGATGACGGACTGGACACCACTGAAGATATGGCTAAAAGAAAACAAAGTGAAGTTACTAATTTAAGAAGCGAAATTAAATGAGCGAAGGTGTAAGGATAGCCCAGTACACACACGTGAGATTGTGTAAGGGCATAAATATATACATACATGAACATGGACAGTCCCACCACTGAGGGAGATCCGAAGAACTACTTAAACTCAACAAACAAGAGATATAAGCAGAAAATACCACTATGAAGAGAAAAGGAAGAAGACACCCCCTACCTGCTTTCCTCCCCTCCCCCTCCCTTCCCCCTCCTCCCTTTTTTTCCCTCTCCCTCCCTGTCTCTCTCCCCCTTTCCCCGTACTCCCTATTTCCACTCTCCCCGATTTTAATATTATAAAAATTCACTAATAAAAAGTTTTTTTTTTTAAAAAAAAGAAAAGATGACTTACTAGATGTACCAATAATGCTTGGTAAGAAAAAAAAAGTAGGAAAAGAGGAAGACAACATTCTGGATCAGTGGTTCCCAGCCTTTGGACCTCCAGTTGTTTTGAAACTCAGCTCTCTGAAATCCCAGCCAGATTAGCAGCTGTTAGGAATTGTGGGGCTCAAATCCAAAACACCTGGAGGACCAAAGGTTATCACTGAGTTTGTCATTCCTTAAACTTCAAAAAATTATGTCCTTAGTCTTATTTATAAATAAATTACATGCTCAAAAATTAACAGGGGGGGGGGCTTCTAGTGTAGCAAAATGAGACTTTAAGTACTCAAATAATTTATTGTTGAAGGTTTTCATGGCCGGAATCACTGAGTTGTTGTAGGTTTTTTCGGGCTATATGGTTTCTACAACCCACTCAAATAATTATTTTTTAAAATACTATTGCATTCCAAGGAATGAAGATCAGTTCTTTATTGTGGAGAGGAATTTAAAAGCAGTTGTGGAGAACTCACTTCAGATGTTTTCAAGCATGTAATCACTTTTTAAATGCTAACAGTATTGACTGCCAGTTTTTCATAGGCAAAACAATTGAAGTAAAAACTGTCTTCATTAGTGGATAAAAAGAAAAGCTGCTCATATGTTTATGAAAGCCTGTGGCTAACATCCAACTGCATATGGGCAAAGAAAGAGTCTATGAGTCTATGAACACATTTTTGGGAAACTGGCATTCATTCATAGTTTGTCGGCATTCTTCTAATATCTGAAGACAGAATGCAATGGTTTTGGCAAAGGGAGAAACTGGCAAAGCCAGCAACAAGGGATAGCATGCAAGTCACTTGGTTGGTCACAGGAGAGATTTTTGGGGGCTAGATGTGACTGTTGGTCCACAACTGGAAATTATTGGGAATCATTTAGTTCATGCTGAGGCTTTTCACAAATTTTAGTCTTGCATATTATAATAATAACTTTACTTCCTTTGGACAATGTAAGTTTATATATGTGTGTGTGTGTGTGTGTGTGTGTGTGTGTGTGTGTGTGTAATAAAAGTAAATTGAGCCCTCTGGTATTCTTATGGTAATAAAAATGTATTAAACACAGTCCCATACACTATTGTAATGCCATATTTGTTACATTACATTGTACCAGCAGCATGCTCTGTCTAATGGTGGTGATAAAATCCATTCTTCTCAGCCTTTTTACAATGTTATTCAGGAAATTTGTCAAAGGATGTAGCCATTTAATCTTCTTTTAAAGCAGGGTAGCTCACTAATGTATGAATTTACCTTTTTGCATGCAAATATCTGATTTGTCATTTCATCTTTCTAATTTTTCAGGGCCATGCATTCCTAATCCCTGTCATAATGGTGGAATATGTGAAATTAGTGAAGCATATAGAGGAGATACCTTCATAGGCTATGTTTGTAAATGTCCACGTGGCTTCCATGGGATCCACTGCCAGCACAGTAAGTTTTTTTAATATATATATACATGGTATTTTCTGTTCCCTTCCTTTTCAGATGAGATCTGCTATGGCTTTTCTACATACAGTTAAGCTTCTAACTTTTTGTGGAATTTAGCCAATAGCTTTGTAAAGCTATAGTATGATCTCCGTATTTATGGGACCCGTATCCAGAGATTTGCTTAATCATGGCCATCAATATATGTTCTCTCTAGCATTTTCTAGATCCTTAATTTCAAAAAGGTTCACTATTATCCACAGTTTCATGTATCCATACAAAGTACAGAAGGGCATCCCCATGCATACTGGGGTTCTTAATGTAATTTACCATATTTATGACAATTCTCCAAAAAATATTCATGGTTGAGAATGTGATCACTGGCAGACTTCTTCCTCTTTTATTCCATATATCTTTAGTTTAATCTGTCAGTGGTAGATAGCACAGCAGCATTAGGAGCAACATTATAACTATAATCCACTTGCCTAGCTTAAGCAGAATAAAGCTTCCCCAGTGACTTCATGGTAAATAAAAATAAGAGTTAGAGACAAATACATTTCACAGATGAAATCTGGGGTATATGAGTCCAAGCAACATCAGGGTGTGGTCAAGATGACCAAAGTTAAGAATGAGGACAAATGTACCAGCTAGGAGAGACTGAAGCAACTTGCTTTTGCATCTGGGAAAGGCAAGATTCAAGGCCATCTCTTCTCTCCCTGCTGCTGGGTTAATTAAGAACAAACTACTGTTGAAGTTTGAACTCAGTTTGCAGCAACTGAAGTAAGGTGAGGAGAAAGTTGGATAGTGGGAGAAGGAGAAAGGAACTGAGACATTGTAATAGGAGCTGAAAAGTGAGTTGACAGATGATTGATTGGATCTGTTTCTGCCCAGTCATAACAGCTGGAGGGAGTGCAAACCAATAAATCAACACTGCTCAAAATGCATGGTTGTGACTTTCTTCAAAGAAAGAGAGAGAGAAGGAGAAAGGAACAAAATCCCAGTAACTGATCAAGTGTATAAGGTTAACACTATTTAATTCTGTGAACATGCAAGAGTCCCCAGTTTCTTTGTGATTTTCCCCCTTTTAGCTAGAAAAAGTTAAGTTTAACTCTTTGTCGTTAAAAAAAAGATAAGCTTAGTGCTTCTTTGCTGTACATTTAAAAGTATTAGAAAAGTGGAATGTGGACTGATTTGCCAGTGGGCTCAGGGCTTCGACTTGATGTTGTCAGCAGTTCATTTTGCTAATGACAGCTGAAGATGAAAAGGCTTGTTAAAAAAGCAGATATTTATGCTAATGTATTTCCTATATCCTCTTTTTTCAGCCCATTTCAATACTAGCCCAAGACAGGTGCTTTTAGTCATGTTTTTTAATTCAGTGGGAAGACTTTCCTGAGGGCTTTATTAATGGATGTACTACATTTAAAAGCAGTGGACTTCTACCATTTAGGTTGAAAGCACCAAATTAATTCTATCTAAAATTTCTTATGACCAGTTGGGGAAATGGCTTTTAAATTATAAATTAGGTTTTTTATATATATAAAAACTTTCTCTCATTACTTTGGGGATTTTAACAAATGGAAGAGTTTTGCAAAAAAAGGGGGGGCTGTTTTCTCCATCTTAACAGTTTCAAGTTTTCTCCATCTTGTACTCGGTCAAAGTTATTAAGAAGTGTTCAGTATTTTTATCAATTGCTAAGGGCAGCCTACCTCATATATTACTGTTGAGAGTTGTTGTTGACCTATTAACTTATGACAACCCCAATGAATGAGAGGACCTTCAATTCATTGTATCATCATTCTATCCTCAACAGGCCCGCACAGGTCTTGAAGAATCATATCTGTTGCTTCTTTGATGGAGTCCTTCCATATGGAATGTATCTCCCCCCCCCCCCTTTCCTACTTCCTTCTGCCTTATTAAGCATTTTAATCTTTTCTAGTGAGTCAATTCTTCTCATGATATTGCCAAAGAACAATAGCCCAAATTTAGTCATGTTGGCTTCTAGGAAGAATTCAGGCTGGATTTATTATAGAACCAATTTATTTGTCTTTTTAACATCCGACAATATCTTCATAATACTTCTTCAGAATCACCCATAAAATGAATTGATTTTATTCCTATCACTTTTTTTCCCACTTTCCAGCTTACAAAACCATATGTGCATAGAAATGTTGGAAAGCTACATTTAAAGTAGGAATATGTGAGTTTTGACCCCTTTGCACAAAGTGAAGCTGCAATACATATACTCAGGCTGCCCTCAGCAAGTACTACAGTGCTTTTTTCTGAGTACGCATGCATAAAATGGCAGTGCCAAGAAATATTCTGGATCCTATCCCTTTCTGGGTTTTTTCACAGAATGAAAAGTGATAGGATTGAATTAGCTACTGTTTCTTCAGTTCCTGTGCCAGTTACCCATCTCTTGTCAGAAAAGGGTTATACAAAATACGTCAAATTTTGACTATTCAATATTCATTCAAGCATGAATGCCAGAGGAGCCTTTGTAAGATCCTGTAAATAACCTACTCATAAAATCAAAGTAAATTGCCAATTCAAGGAAAACCACCACCACATTCATCTGCCCATGAGTTGTCTCCCTAGAAGCCAATAAATGGAGCATGGGCCCTTTAGAAGGAAACTAATGAATTGTGGCTGCTGCAGAGTTAAGAGAATAAGTAGATTTACAACTTTATTTTTATTATTATGTTTATTATTGTTGTATGATTATTATTATGTTGATGATGATTATTATTAACTTTGATCCCAAAGTTTTAGAGTGGACAGCTAGATTGGGCTAGAACCAGTCCGATCTACAGTTGACACCTCCAATGGACTGACCACTTCATCAATGCCAACAAGCAGCTCCTTGCCAGAAACTTTCTGGCAGCATTGTTTTTGGGCACCCAGCCATGTCATCTGAAAGTTGACATTGCTATGAAGTCTTGAAGAGCTGCTTGTTGGCAGTAGCACAACAGAGGTATCCCCAATGTAGGCAGCCAAAGAGAAACTGGGGATTCTCCAGGGCTGTATTAGAGCAACTCCAGAATGCTTTAATCTGGATTATTTGGGTAAACATTGGTGTGTCAGAACACTGACTTATCAGTATTATTCAGTGTTGTCATTCTGAGTACACAATTCAGTATTTTTTCTCAGTGACCAATATTTGAGAACACTGTTTTAAGGAGAATAATCTCATAGTAAAAGATGAATTTATACAACACTATAATTCTATAAATACAAAATAGAATTGACAATTCATTCTGTAAAATGCTGTTCCACAATCACAGCCTTAGGAAAATCCAATCACTTTTTCCAAATGAAACATTCCAATGCACATGACCTTGACCTACCAAACATGCAGTTTGATTGGATCCCACCACTGTGAGTGAACTCTTCCTGTGCTTCAGAACAGTTCTTAAATGCACATAGGACTGCAGGGAAGAGATGAAATCATTTCCCACAATTATTTAATGAAAGCCATTCCATTAGTGGAACCCTCTATAGTTAGTAAAGAAATGTTTCACTTACTAAACTGATATAAATGATTTGTGCCAAGAGAAAATCACTGTAGGTACTGAATACCAGGATCCAGAATAGGAGAGAACTGTTGCACTCCAGACCAGGAAAAGTCCTCTAACTTTAAACACCACACAGTTGAGTAGAAATGCAATCTTTTTATTGAAGATAATTAAAAAGCAGTAAAGTAAAAAGCACTTTAAAGGAATAGGTAAATCCAATTAGGTAGGAAGATAAGTCCAGGGAATTAGTCCAGCAAAATCCATGAAAAACCAAGGCAGAAACTTCTATAACAAAATCCAAGAAACTAGGAAACATGAATCCAAGACAAGTGAATGCAAAATCATAGAATACAAGAATCAAAACCATGAAACAAATGCGCTTTAAACATGAATCTTTCCCAAGCAAAGCTTCCAAGAAACAAGAACGAGATCTTAACTTGATTTCAAACGATGCTTCATCTGACTACAGATTCTGTTCTTGGGACTTTTGTCTCCTCACTAGCTATGTCCCAAGTGCTCAGAAATTGGTTTCACTTTAGCTTTGAATCTCTGTCTTTCTCTGAGCCTGGCAAAATGCTGAAGCCACTGCTCTGCTCTTCTGTTTTGACTAATCACCTCCTGTCTATCTATTTGCTCATTAATTTCTGCAGCTGGGCCAGGTACCAAGCTGTTCTCAGGCTCCAAATCATGGGAATTCTCTGGTAACAATTCAGAGAGCAGACCATCATCCCCACACCCTTCAGGGACATTCTCATGAGAAACTACACTTTGAACAGGGATCTCCTGGTCATTTTCTGCATCAATATCATTGACCAGACCATTACCTTCTGGAAACTCATTGTCATCACTCCCCACATCTAAAGCACCCTGGTCCTTAAACATAATAACAGGCTAAGCTCCAACAAGAACTACATATAGTGTTCCCTCACTTATCAAGAGTGTTAAGTTCCAGAACCACCCGTGAAAAGTGAAAATCCGCAAAGTAGGGACACTATATACTTATATCACGTTCTGAGGGTGAGGCGGAAGCAAGGAGAGGCACTGCACACCTTTTTTTGCTAGCTATCTCTGCTTTGCTTTGCTATTTCTCTTGATTGGCTGCCTCTCTCCCAAGGGGGAGGTTGAAACCCCCTTCCATATGTATCAAGAAATTCAGTAAAGAAAAAGCCTCCCAGATTGAGATGTTCCATTAAGAGCTTTCCATTTTTATTCAAGTTTCGAAATGTGGATAAAAAGTACATCTCTTAAGGACCACACTATTCAGAGATGTGCAATATTACTGTGGCAATATCATATAGGTTTATATCCAGGTCAATCACTATATTTTTTTTCTCTTACTCTGGACATTTTTTTTTTAAAAAAGAATATTGTTTCAAAATTCAATATTTTGTCAGCCAAAATGCTTCTGAACATCTTTGTACATTGACATATACAGATAGGTTAGTATACAAAATAAATTCTAACATCTAACATCAAATTACTTTCAGGACTTAA